TCTATACCGTGGCACAGGGGGTGCAACGGTCTGTGGCTGACTGTCGTGACCATGTGCCGTGCTGAGTTCCTCATCACTGTGTGTTTCCCACTCACCATCCTCGTGTACATCGCCAGTGTGCGCATGCGCGCTTTCAGGCGGCGATATATCGGTTTCTAATTGTAGATTGTACCTACAGGTAACCATGGCAACCATGTGGCAATGTCAACACATGTTAGTTTACGAATTTATAGTCCAGTAAATACACAAGTGGTACATACACCTGAATCCTATCAGACAGACTGTTCGTTGTATTTCTATCGACTTGCGCGGAAAACACGATTTAAATATACATTTACACTGCCGCAACATATGTATGGTCCATGTGTGGCGAAGGATCACGTCATCTCGATCGATGAGTACGTATATCATACCATACATGACTGTACACATACCATACATGACTGTACACATACCATACATGACTTTGCACGTACCATACATGACTGTACACATACCATACATGACTGTACACATACCTTACATGACTGTACACATACCATACATATCTGTACACATACCATACATGACTGTACACATACCATACATGACTGTACACATACCATACATGACTGTACACATACCATACATGACTTTGCACGTACCATACATGACTGTACACATACCATACATGACTGTACACATACCTTCATGACTGTACACATACCATACATATCTGTACACATACCATACATGACTGTACACATACCATACATGACTCTGCACATACTAACCATGACTTTACACATACTAACCATGACTGTACACGTACTGTATATGACTGAGCGTGTAAGAATCGACTGAGGGGTATTCTTTATATCCTAGCGGCAACAGAAGTAATGATACACGTCCATGTCTGATGCCAGACTGTATTCCGATGTATGGCTAAGCGCATGTATATACACCAAACCAAACTCTCCTGTACTCGGTAACATACACATATACCAGAACTCACACAGCAGCAGAAAAGTACCATAACAGACATATTGCACTCGCTAACATACACACATTAAAACTCACACAGCAGCATAGAAGCACTGCAGCAGACATATTGCACTCGATATCATACACACATTAAAACTCACACAGCAGCAGAGGAGTACCATAACAGACATATTGCACTCGATATCATAAACACACTAGGAGATACTCTGCAGCAGATTAGTACTGTAGCAGACAGAGCTGCATGCATGAGAGATAATAGACGTTCACCATTGCGACTGGGGACGGTCATGCGAGGCATGTCTCTGCACAAGTGTGTACAAAGAACCGAACTCACTGGTACTTCACACAGATAGAACAGATTTATCAGTGTAGTTACATACACGATATTATGGACACTATACACGGTATTATGGACACTATTCACGTTATTATGGACACTATACACATTATTGTGGACACCATACACGTTATTATGGACACTATACACGTTATTATGGACACTATACACATTATGGACACTATACACGTGATTATGGACACTACACACGTTATTATGAACACTATACACGTTATTATGAACACTATACACGTAATTAAAATACTAGTAAATATACTTCTACTGCTATGTACCATTACGCAGCCCTGTGCCACAGACCCATTGTCACCGATTGCCCCACGCACAGTCAGGGTAATGAGATAGAACACATATACCAGTAGAACTATATACACACTATAGACACAATACATGTGTATAATATACTAGAAAACATACTACAACAGATACAATTTACTAGAAAACATACTACTACAGATACAATATACTAGAAAACATACTACTACAGATACAATATACTAGAAAACATAATACTACAGATACAATATACTAGAAAACATACTACTACAGATACAATATACTAGAAAACATACTACTACAGATACAATATACTAGAAAACATACTACTACAGATACAATATACTAGAAAACATACTACTACAGATACAATATACTACAAAACATACTACTACAGATACAATATAATAGAAAAATCTACTACAGATACAATATACTAGAAACATACTACTACAGATACAATATACTACAAAATATAAAACTACAGATACAATATACTAGAAAACATACTCCTACAGATACAATATACTACAAAACATACTACTACAGATACAATATACTACAAAACATCTACTACAGATACAATATACTACAAAACATACTACTACAGGTACGTACCGCAACGCAGCACCGTGCCACAGACCCATCGCCACCGCATGACCACGCACAGTCAGTGCTATGGAGTGACCGTCTGGGTGCAGATCACAGTCGTTTAAGTACTCACCCCCCGACACCAGCCGAGTGTCGCACTCACTACGCTGGCTCGTCCATGTCACATCTGCGTGGAAGTGTATACTATTGTTAGGTACAATAGTATTGATGTTAATTACTATTGATGCAATAGTATTGGTATTGATTAATATTGATAGAATAGTATTGTTATTGTTATTGATTACTATTATTACAATAGTATTGTTATTAATGACTATTATTACAATAGTATTGTTATTAATTGTTATTTATACAATAGTATTGTTATTAATTAATTACTAATAATTAGTTACAGTAGTATTGTTATTCATCAATTAGTATTCATTACTATTAATTAGTTACAGTAGTATTGTTATTAATCAAATACTATTAATTACTATTGATTAGTTACAATAGTATTGTTATTAAACAATAGTATACTTGTTATTAAACAATAGTATACTTGTTATTAAACAATAGCATACTTGTTATTAAACAATAGTATACTTGTTATTAAACAATAGTATACTACTAACGTTAATAATACGGTTTTGGTAATGTTATTAAGAAGTGTGAGGGTGATGTTGATGTCGGTGCGTTTATCTGCTTGTGATAGTACTTGGTATGTCAATTGTGAGGTCGAAGATCGTGTATCTATGTGTGAATGTCTCACCCAAGTTGCAGTATAGAAGTCGTATTCATAGGCTAAATTCTCGTGTATGATTTTAGACATAAACTCAACTGTGAGTGTTGTTGATAATAAAACATTAACAATGATAGCGCATCGAAGAGCGCTCATTAAAAACTGGGCGATAGAGATAGCAATCTGGGTTAATTAATACAATGGTACAGTATTGTGGTTTGGACTGGAGGTGCGTACAAATACATACACACACACACACACACGCATACACACACACACACACACACACACACACACACATATATATATATACATACGAGATTGGAGTAGTGACGGTGTTACCCATCACGCGTGCGCTGTAGCACAACATGTCTATGACAAAGCTGGAATTCATCGTGCAGTAGCATGAAATACGGATATGTATATGAACTTTAAGCGAGCATCATAAGCGTCACCTATTCCTTGGCGCAATGATACATTTACATAAACCACCTCAAAGGCACAGTCATCTTGTACCTAACTCAGTGACTGTATCCTCTGCGATACTGTAAGCGTACAGGGACCCCCCCGCATGGTATACTATGGTTTCGCCATCGGTGCTCAGATCCCGTGCGTAGAAGCCCTTATTGTCGTGGGTGTGTTGCTGGAGATCCTCACCTACGTACAGTAGGTATATGGGTCACAGTAAAAATATCTGTC